ACTATCCTTGTCATTTTTGTTTAGTTAATAGAGAAAATTTAGCAAATTTAAAACTTACTAAAAATGATTTAAAACTTGAATTTTTCTAACTATAACCCATAGTGATGATCACCAGGGTCACGTGGTATAATATAAAATTAGACTAATATGTATATATATATATATACATATATATATGTATGTACATACATATAAAAATTGTAAAGGTACGTTATATAACTGATACAAGAGTACTGTACTATTATACTAAACTAACATATTGTATATATATAGTATATATATGTATGTACGTACATATTGTACTCTATATTTACTTCATGTACATTCTTAACAGATTTACTGGATATACGTACATACGTATGTACATATGTACAATTATATAAAATTATGCTCGAGTCAATAAATCCAATGAAATATAGTTATGCACTCAAAATAATTTAAGACATGTTTATTGAATCATTTAATACAATAATATAGTATGTATGCTTACTCTACTATAGTTGCCATATGCTGCTCGCTTTGCTCACAGCTAAGCAGCAGTCTCGCAAAGTGTAAATCTAAAAAAATCCTAGCTTTTAACAACATTCTCAATAGGAATATTTGTTACTACAAAAAACGATGTATTATTTGACATTATGAAAGATAAATTTTAATTTGACACAACAAGGATAGATTTTATACTACAAATCAAAAATTCTATCCTTGTTGCTAGGCTATATTTGCTAAAACAAAAAAAAAAATCTCAAATAGGAATTCATACAAGAATGAACAAAAAAGACTTATCGTTAATACTTATCTAATATTGAGTAGATGCATACGACTTCGCTCTATTACCTAACAATAAAATAAATTAACTAAGCTATCAAAATCATAACTAATAATTATGATTTTGATAGCAGCTACGATTTCAAACAGAATATACACAATGTAAATTGTTACATAATTCAGAATCAATGCTTTGCAATTTGAAATGCGCTATACTATGTCATACAGTATTACCATATTGTTATTTCTGCTTCTTACAAGTGCGTGAATTGTGCCCTACTCCACCACATAAATTGCATATATATTTTCTTTTGCCTTTATGGCACAATTCATTCGCATTGTTATCTATAATATAACTATTCAAATCTATATTTGAAGGAGCTATTTCTAAGTTTGGATCTTAAAGATTAGTCACATCGTGTACCAATTTTTTATGATCATAACTCTCAGAAGAGCTTTTCAACCGCTTAATCGGTGGCCGTCCACGATGTTTTACAACTAAAGGATCTATCACAATTATCTGTTGAGATTCACCAAGTTGAATATTTTTATTGTTAATATTTTCAATTGCAGACTTTTTCTGATTAATAAAGCTAGATATAACATAGATTAGCTTTTCTTTACATCCAAGATCCAAAGCAATATTGAGTGCCTTCTTCATTCTTCCAAATCCATTTGCATATCTGGCTTTTTTATTAGCTGCTTGTTGATTCTTTACAATATACATATTAGTATCTCTAATTTTTTCTATAATATGAAAATCTGGAACAGCTATGTTGGTAGCTGTTTGCTGAAACATCGTTGAAATCTCAATGCTTTGCAGCTGTAAGTCTTCAAGCCTTATATCCTGCTGATCATCATAATACCAACGTCTTGCAACTAACCCGATATGAAACTTTGCTGCTTTAGTATTCATCATCACTTGAAAAAAGTGTGAACATATAATACCACGATTGATTATTGTCATGCAAGTACATAGGTATCCACCATCACATAATAACACGATGTAGTGTTTGTAAACACTTGATAGGCATATAAGTTTCCAAATTTCAATTATATCACTTAGATCAATATCTTTAATTAGAGCAATAATAGAGTTTTGTGGCCTGTCGAGTTGATTCTCTAAAAAGCCATTATCATAATCCAATTGGAGATTTTCCTAATAATAAAAAAAAAAAACTAAAGCTTAATGCATGCTATAAATTTTACTAAACCACAAAGAAAAAACAATTATTAGACCTGTAATTCTAGAATATCCTCTATTGGTCGTAATTGCGCTCTATATAAAAGTGAACCAGCAATTTGCTATAGTTGTACAGCCAATATATAGGGAGTCAAGTACAACTTTAATATATTAGAAACTTGCAGAAATAATGATTCAACAACTGATGGCATTTGACTAGTAGGTAGAGAATTCATATAACTATAATGTCGCACCTACTGAGCCTCATTATCTAAAAGATTCTGTATATGTTCATATAGGCTACGCAAAGAGAGTGTACTCCTAATACCATCTTTGATCAATCGATTCATTACTTCAACATGCTGGGTGCTTTGGATACCTGCTGTAAAGCAACTTAGTTAGTAACATCGAGCCCATGATCTTATACTTCCTTGCAATGTTCTATTAAAATAATTTTGTGTTTGGAGATACTTATTTAATAACTGTAACCATCTTCTATTAAAATCTTTCTCGAACGTGCTATTTCATGTATGCAAAAACTTCTTATAAAATTCATCATATCTATTACCAAGTTTACATTTCAAATTTTTACAGATATTCTCTTGTATGTGAAATATACATAAAAAGTGATATGTTGTAGATAGTTTTAGAGCAATAGCGCTGCTTAACACTGGCTCAGCATTGGAAAATAAAACTACAGGTGGTGTATTATCTGTTGCATTCAAAAGATATTCAAGAAACCATTCGTATGACTCAGTAGTTTCATCATCAGATAATGCTTGAGCTACTAGTCGACTCTTTGTATTATTATCAATAACTACTAAAAGAGTAAGATACATGTCAAACCAATTCGTCTTACAAGTGTTGTCAGTTTGAACTACATCAATATAATGTATCAAGTATTGTTGTTGCATCGGGGACATCCAGAACAGTCCTGTAAGGCAATTATCGTATGGATCTACCCTAAAATTGACAATACAACCAGGTTCTTGGTGTTTTAAATACAACAAATAATTAACGAATTCTTGTGCTTCTCCCTGATGTTGATTGAGTGGTCTTCTAACCTTTTGGACGGCATTATAAAGATCGCGTTTGTGAATAATATAATCAGGAAATTCAGAAGTTAAAAGAGGTAGCATTTGCTTAGATCCTATTTTTCCTTTTGTAACATAGAATTCTATTTTTTCTAAGATTTCTGATGATAATTTTCTATACTTTGGAGCATATAGCCTAATGTCAGATTGCAGCTGATGATTATGCTCCCCTATTATACTCGTGATAATTACAACTGCAGATTCCTTTGGTTTTGATAAATTTATATGCCATGGGCATGATATCTTTCCTGAACTTCTATTACGTTGCTGTGAAAGGTCAACAACCTGATTACTAACACATTTCCCAGAATGCGTACACTCAAATGTACGTTGTCTGCCCTCACCGTTATTATTGAATTCTACTCTTTTTCGATGTAGAGAGAAACCTTTAGCTTTTGCATAACTGTTGAGTTGCACTTCAGCTAAATCCCATGACAAAAATGAAGCATCCACTGAAATTTGAAGATCTTGTTTGTTGCTTTGCTCTATTTCTAATGGTTCACATATTTCTGGTTCCACACCCATACATTTGTAGGTTCTAAATCTATCAATGAGCTATTTAAAGATTCTAAAAAATCTAAAGAGTTAAAAATTATAATCTAAAATTTTCATAACAAGAATAATGCTACTGGCTTACCTTCTATAATTATAAGTTTCTTTGTAAAGAGCATTACTAGATATACAATGAGACAATGTAGCAATAAAATAAACCCAACAATTAAGACAGCGCAGTACTAAAATAAAATTAGAATGAAAGAAGCATGGTAACAAGAGGCCAAGAGAATGCAAGACGCGTCACTAATTGGAATGAAAATATGCTAATAAAAGGAACACGGAAACAAAAGCCCTAATTAAAGGTAAAATAAGCAAGCAAGCAAATTTGTGACTGCAGTAAATTAGTGAAACTATATTAGCAATGCAAGCAATTGAGTAAAGTAGTGTAACAAGATCCTAAAGAATGCACAACGCATCACTACGTAAAACATAAAAGGTTAGTAAAAGGAAATATGGAAACAAAAAGCTCAATTACAAGTAGAAATAAAACAACCAACCAAAATTGTAATTGTAATAGATTAATGCTGGTAAGCAAACAGTAAAATAAAAGTAGTATAAATTATTTAAATAAAAGAAAGTAGTAGTTTAATGATATTCATCATAGTATTACGCATATCTGGTACGTTTTAACGTGACCATGGTGAGAAAGTAGTAGTTTAATGATATTCGGCATAGTATTATGCATATCTGGTACATTTTCACATAACCATGGTGATGATCACCATGGGTTATTTTGATTATAATTCTTAAAACTTAGAAATCATGAAAATATGCTAAATTATTATAATATGAATGAAGAAAATACAGTTTGTATTGAATCGGTACAAAATATTTTTTGGAAATTTAAGTAAGTATAAAATTATAATTAAAACATTTTAAAATAATTCAAAATATTGAAAAGAAATTCAAAAATATCAAAATAATATAATGTGAATATTTGTGAATATATTCGAATAGTTTTAAATTAATTCAAATTATATTAAATAATTGCGAATATATTTAATGTATCACAAATCATTTTAAAATTT